ATCTTGGGTGGATATTTTTGTGGAAAAATTAATGAATCTTGGGTGGATATTTTTGTGGAAAAAGAGTTTGAGATATTCATGTCATTACACCCATATATTTGAACATGATGAAAGATTGAAAGCTAACCAAATTTTGAGTTATTCAATAGACACATGTTTAATTTTCTTGTTCTTTTATTTTAACAAATTTAAAATGTATTTTAAGGGCTTGTTATTGGATTATACAATAAATTATTGGATAGTCCTCGATCATCTGTCACTTAGCAATATGGTTCACTGTATTATCCGTCGATACACTACTTTTTTTCAAGTTCGATACGCGATCCGTATCGATTAGTCGGTCAGTTTACGCTGACTTTGTTCGAATCTATTACACTGTAACCGCGACCATGATGGGCGAACTATTTAACACTTATAATATTGAATGTATATTGTATGTATCAAGTCGTGTACCTAATAAAGCGCGCAGATTTAAGTGGTCCAAAATTATTAAAAACTTAAAAGTCTAAATTGGACTAGGAATTATGCATGCCTCCCTTTAATTGTCTATTTTTCTGTTTATATGTTTAAAATTTACACTGTACCTACCGAAAATATTGTTTCATGCTTTAAAATAAGCTTTCATATAAATATGTATTCTTTGGCATTTCTATTCTTTTATGAAAGGGAACATTCTCTTAAATGAAAACGGACCTTTTTCAATACTTGGACCACTTACTGAGAAATAGAAAGTGTGACAAATAACTTAGAATTAGTGGTACATAGTCTGTCTATATCAGATTGGTTGGCAACTTGGCATTAATAATGGGACAATTCAGTTTTGTCTCTTTGGTTGATTGACTTCACACTTTCGGTTCAAACATATTATTCCGTCTTTTCCAAAATTCATCTCCAATTTCTTATTATATTAATAAGAGTAAATTTATAAATTTATTTTGTTAAATGATAAAATAGCACTTCGTAATTAATACATTTGTTTAGTAAAAAGAATAATTTTTGAATGTTATATCTATTTTTGAAATGAAACATGTATTTTGAGATATCTATTGACAATAATTTCGAAACAAGTGGATTACTAAATTGTCTAAACCATTTATGAGTGTGATCAAATTTAATGTTTAATATATTTTTTTAATAAATTTTTGAGTACAATGTGGAAAATCCATTGCTATATAAAAAAAATTTAAAACATACTTTTACTATTTAGTATGTGCATATAAATTCGTGTAGTTTAAAATTTTGTACCAAATTACTCTCTAATCGTCAATTTTGATAAAAAAAATTTATAAAAATTTCAAAATGCCCTAATAAAAATTGCGCATAATTTTATTATTATTATTATTATTTTGCTTTAAGAGAATTTTAAGTATAATCTTCAAATTAAAAAAATATTCTTGTTTTTACTCATTTTGAAAAGCATAGGATTTTTTTTTAAACACTAAATTTTTTTTTTTCCACACATTCTGTATATATAACAAGAAGGTAATTTTTTTACACTTTATCCTAAATTATTACACATTTGTAGGTTCACTTTTTAAAATCAAAAAGTTTGAATTGGACAATTCCACCCATCTACAACCTTGTCTTTTAAAAAAGTTGAGAATGTAATTTTAAATTGAATCCTAAAGTAAGTGACAGTGACAGAGATCCATCAAATAATTTCGATATAAACATCTTTGTGAAAATTTGAATGCCTCATCTTAATCCTTGGGTGGCCCCCACAAAATTGGGACCCATTCTCACGCCGGCCCTCCTCCATTGGAGAATTGCCTCAAATTGTGTGTCATTTTTTTCTTGGATTGAATCGATTGATGGTATATAAACGGACACAACAGTCCATTTATGTTCAAAGATTCCACAAAATAAAGAACAATAGCTTAACCGAGCCAATTTGTGGAACCCACAGGCCACAACGACTCGCCGTGAGCAGCACTGTCATAGACCAAACTAGGCCATACTTGTTAGAAGTTTTAACAAGTGACGGACTCAAACACAATTCACCAAGCTGGGATGACCAAGCTAATATATAAATCTATATCTATATTAGTTATGTTTATCGCAAACAGTTTGAAATATACCGTACTAATAATTTTTTAACTTATGATAAGGAGCACCGAATTAAAATTTCAAAATTGCAATTGAAAAAAATTTAATTTTAAAGTTTGAACTAAATTTTGATTCGATGAAGTTACCTTACAGTGATGTTGACATGAGAGGCAGAGCTAGTGAGTGACTGCAAAAGGATATAATAAGGCTTATGAACAATAATTTGGCAAAATATGAATCTATTAAGCATGAACATTCTGGTCTAGCTCGAATAAAGCTCAAATGGCTTGCAAATAAGAAACAGAGCAAGTGCTGCAATTTTGCTTATTTGTGCCATTTTTGGTCCCATGGACTTGGTTCCAATTTGAAAGCACCAATTCCATGAGAGTTTGAACCATGAAAAGATAATTGCAAAACCATACGACGTTAAAATGAGGGTTTCAGAGTACCTGATTCCATGAAATAACAAAAATGAAAGGCAAAAAGAGTGCTGATGATTAAAATGCATAAACTGGTTACACACTTTTTAACATGATATATCAACAATGAAAATATTCTAAACTAGAATTACAACTCTCGAATGCCGCTACACCAATATCAGCAGCATCCATTTCAAGCCTGAATGTATATGTTTCATCACAACTAGGAAAAAAAAAAGGTAGTTATTTGCAAATCCCCTACACAGATGGAACAAGTTCCACCACAAGGAAAAAAGAAAAAGGAGACAGAGAGAGAGAGAGAGAGAGAGGATAGAAGCAGAGCGATGAGATGTGCTGCTTTTGATTCCTATCTGAGGGTTAGATTTAGAAATTATACAGAACTACTTTGGCAAATATAAGCTGACTACTCGGTGAGTCACACCTAAAAGCAATTTGGAGTAGCTACTAGCATCGCCTAGAGAGGAAGAACTCATAGTCAGGTTGTCTATTCACAGACGTCAGATTTCCCTTGGTAACAACATCTCTTGCCATAAGAGATGCCGTATGTTCAAGCGTCCTCAACCGCTCGTCCAAAATTCTTGAAGGGTTTGGCTTTGGGTTTTCTGCTGTCGGGCTCGGTGCAGAGTTCCTTAGCTGAAACCAGCATTCACCCTGTTCATTTGCCATTCAAATTCATAGTAAGCAAATCAGATTAACAGATTTCATGAAAGCCTAGTATGTATTAATGGCAGCGCAGAAAAAGTAAACAATGGTCAAAGTTCTATATAATGAAGAATGAAAATTTTAGTTGTACGGTTGTCATTTGCCATGCAATATGATACTACCCAAGGTAACATATGACGAAGTTGCCCAAGGGTTTATACATTCAGAGGATACATGTCGATTAATTAACATGAAAATAATTTATGTGGTTGAGAAAACAAGGCCACCGTTTGGCGATATATTGAGCAGCAATGCAGGTGTCAAACCACACAGGTGGGGAGTAACAGTGTACACATCGATACCGTTATTAGAGTTCTTCATGTAGTTTATAGTTGACCCAATCACACAACAATAGCCATCCATTATTAAAACATTATTGCATGTTAAGGATTTGAGTGTTATTTTGCTACAATAAAGGTTAGAATGTGGAATCATATTCTTATTGCCCCTTTCTCACCCTGGACAGCACACCGTGGGTGGGTGAGAGAATGAGAGATATTTACCATTGTTTGAAAATCTTATCTGCATGTAAGATCTCAGGCGTCATTTTATAGAATCATCTTCTTCTGACAATTTATTTCTTCTAAGGAGATATGCAAGAGGTTATCTTTTAACAATGCTTTGTGAAATCATCACCTACTTCGTTCTTATTTTTTAGAGAGAAAAAAAAAAAAAAAAAAAAAAAAAATTTCTGAATCTCCAGTTGCTAAGTAACACCCTGTTCACCTTCATTTTTTTTTTTCCTAGTTGGTACTCACACACACTTGTCTCTTTTGAAACTTGAACCCCTGACATCTCTTTGAGAAGTAAGAGGCTGATACCGCTAGGCCACTGACCCATTGGTACCCTGTTCACCTTCATTAATTTGTTCATTTAATCTACTCCTACTTTATGAAGCATGGACGTGGACGTGGGCAGCGGGACAAGTACATGACATGATACGGATACGATATCGGAAAAAATAGGATACAAATACAAGGGCATGGCAATATATAAATGTATAAATATATATAAGTATACAAGTTAAAATATATATTTCTCTAAATATAAATTTTTAAAAAGTAAATGTTTGTAATGTTATTTATAGTGTTACTATCATTTCTTAAGAAAAATAACGATGATAAACAAGCTGGGAGTTGAGAGTAATGGTCTGGATAAATTTTGAAGTAAATTAGCTATGAGATATATCTTAATACTTCCTCTTTGAAGAAATTCCAAGTTTTTCTTAATAATTGTGCTATGATATTATACCTGAAAAGGTTTTATTTTAATGTTCAAGACTCGTATATAATCTAAGAAGTATCGGATATAAGGTAGAAATATCAAAGACGTCTCGGATACATTTCAGAAATAAAAAAATATATTTTTTCAAATTATAAAGATATTTAGAAAGTATATAACACATTCACAAGTATCTAATGAGTCTCGGTAACCGACACAGACAAAGTAAGGTGTGTCCCCCTTTTAGAAGTATTCATGCTTCATGGCTCCTACTTGAACATGTATTGGCTTTATTTAGATTTATAGAAGTTTGCAACTACATTAATTTTAGTGCTATCATTCCTAGCCTTGTACCATTCTGCTATTGCATTATGATGCGCTAATGCGCCAGATGTTGATGAGTGTCAACAATCTAACAAAGCTAATGGTTTAAATAAACTACATCCACGAGCCATGGAAACTGTAGCAAAGGGTACTTGAGCACTCTTATCAGGAGAAACAGATTACGTATTTTATGAATATCTCAGCAACTGTTAATCAGTACAGTTAATTGCATAAGCTGAAACAATAACAATAAGTAATTACAACTACCTGAGCATTGTAATTTTGTAGGCCAACAACTGGAGAAACTATACAAGCATCCTCGCTAAAGGATTTTGATGTGGCACTTCTATGAACCAAATGACCAAGTGAATGGTAAGTCAAGAAAGCCGCACGGAAGTTGCCATCAGGTATTCTGTATATTGGATACCAAGCCACAGAGTACCTGAATTTAATTGGTGTCAGTACTCATATATAGAGTGTTACTCTGTTTAACTCAGTGACACATCATACTTTATTTTATAATTGTTGTGAAAATAATTTAGGTTTCGTTCCACGGCACCATATACAGTTTTTTACATAAAGACTGGATCACATTTTATTACTAACCAGGATTTAGGGTGAAGATCATGTAGATTTACAGAGTCCAATGTTGTTGGATCCCCGTAAGCTCTGTATTGCGAAGGCCCATCACCTCTAACCAGCTCCTTTATCCTGAATCCAAAAATACGGGTCAAAAGGTAGCTTTCAGCAAGTGAACCGCAGTTCCTGAGAATCTATAAAAGAGCCATAATATACAAGAGACCATATGAACCCAACTCCATAAAAGTTCCATACGCCCTTTTGAATAACAAAACCAAGGACTCACTAAATAGGCACAAGCCCAGATGGTATGATCTGTCCTCAAAAGAGATATTGAACGTTCAAGCGCTGCTAGGGCTAATATGGTGGGTTTGTGTGCGTTTGCTTGAATTTTTTTTTTTTTTTTTTTTTAAAAAAAAAGGACTCAGAGAAGATATCTGATGCAATCTGATACAATCAATCTGTAACCTTGGAAATTCATGCGAAATCCATCAAACAATATGGTGTAAGCATGCTTTTGTGTCTTTCTCCTGATAGAAAGTGCCCATCATTTGACAACTTCACGAATTACTTTGGTTAATAATAATATGTAGCTATTTTTTTCTAGTAACTTTAATTTCTTTTCAGTATGTTGCTTACCAATTATCAGAAATACAATGATGCCCACACAATAGATTCGTTTTTCAGATAGATTCAAACCTCAAGATCAATACGCAGGAACCACGAAGCACAGTGCACAACAGTAAGTTAAACTACAATACAAATAGCTATTCCTTTAGAATATTCTTAGTTCTAAAACCTATAATTGCCCTTGATTCATTACTGTGGAGTTATTAAAACCATCAGTACCTTTATGATGACATAAAAATTTAAAGCAAATAATAAAAACAAAAACAGCACTTACATTTCAAACAATGGTCGTCTTTGATGAGGTTGCTCAACTTCAAAATATTCAAAAAGAAGCTCTAAATCATCGGACCATGCAGAATCAACTGATTGAATAGATACATCATCTTTAATACATACTGAAGATCGTTCCACACAACAGTCATGATTCCTTTGTGGCAGAAAGCTTGTCTCCTCTGTGCGAGGCTGAGGAACTAGTACTGAAAATATTGGAAGGTGGCCAATATTAGTGGGGTTTTCAGATATTTCATCCATCTCACATGCGCCCATAGTCTCAGTACCAGGAATGCCTTTCTCATTATCCAAAGGACTACTTTGACGGTATCTGAAAAGCTGAACTGCTGACAAGAATGGGACAAAATAAGCACGAAATGTGAAACGATCAATGCCCAATCTCTTTGATTGTTCATAATCCTCTGCCCTTACTTCTAAACCATAGCTCCCATGTTTCTCATACCACTGCCACAGGCATCCCAAAGAGATTCTGGGTTTTTCATGTCTGCACAAATACCCACCAAATGGCCCATCATTTGAGCAAGTCTGACAACTTATAGTATTGCGCTGTAGACGTATAACTGGAGAAGCAGAATGAAGAAGTCTTTCAAACTCAGCAATTGGACAACCAGTGGTCATCTGAAGAGCTTCAGAGGCTAATCGTGCCTTATAAGCATCATTCACTGCTTGTGCTATCTTGTTTGAATCATTTTCAAATGCAAAATTATTTTGGCCTTTAGGTTCATGAACTAAGCAACATTGTTTAGGAATGCACGCACTATGATTCCTCAACTTCTGAGTAGGACCTCCATTTTCAGAAGGTAAGACGTTACAATCTCCAGAACCCTGAACTGTGCATAATACCGTGACAACCATCGAAGACGGAAGTGTGTGAGGATCATATGCTAATTCCTCTTCTGCAACATCCTTCGAAGTCCGACTTTCAGCAGCTGATTGATCAAGGTTATCATTAGAAAGAACTGAGCTCATCAGCAAAGAATCTTTCATTCCAACTGGTATCCATTTCTGCAAAATGGATCCAGTACCGTGGTCTTGCTTACTGTGTTCTGCAATAGACACATCTTTGTCTATTTTGGTTGCTTCATCACCTACAAGCGGACGAAGGTATACAGCAGACTGTCCCTCAAGCAGCTCTGGTTGGTCCAGATAGTCGCATGATTTTGACAATTCGCTATTTTCATTCTGTACTGGTTTACTGTTAGAACAAGAAACATCATTACAGACATCTTCAAGCGGCTCCAGTTGATTGGGAGAAACTTTTAAGCTCTGAACTGGTTCAGAAGAAATGGATTCAACTCTGTTTATTTGAAATCCAATCTTTGTACAACTAATTTTGGAATGAGATCTTGAAACACTGCCTAATCCTTTTTGACCACTCACTCGAGCTGGAACATCCAACAGTTCACTCTGTTGCATATTAGTCTTTGTAGAAACATTTGAGCTGGCCTTGTTAGCATGAGATCCCTTGCTTGAAAAACAGTTGTACTCTTGCTTTGATCCTGGACTAGTTTTCCTTTTCAACTTTCTAGAAACCTTGGGTTTTGACTGGCTTTTATCTTCATGATTTGATAGTTTATTAGATTCACCAACATTACAATTCTTTTTAAGCAAAGGAACCTCTTTCAATTCAATATCAGGCAGCGAGCACACTGAGTTTACTTTGTTTAACTCATAATTGCATTCACCCACATCATTTCTCTGAACCTTCTGCCAGACAGAGTGATAATTTTCCTTACCAGGACGGCTACGAAAGTTTTCAACGCTGCTAACTCTGTGGACACGTGAACTCCGGGGCACTCTTTTGATTTGCTTACTTCTCTTGGTTGGTACCACAGTATGTGTGTCACCGTTGGCACCCTTGTTTGTTCCCACAGCATTATAAGAGGAACCCGCCAAACCATTTAACATATTTCCACGAGGGAAACATCCTTTTTTGGCAGTAGAACTGGGTGATTCTGAAGGATTAATTCCACTACTTTCTTTGTTAGATATTTTAACATCACCACTGCTATAAATACTTTTATCACTATTTGAACCAACTGAAACTGAATCAAACACAAAAGAGTCCTGCGGCTCAGACAAAACATTGGAATATGGATCATTGAAACAACTGATTGATTTGGAATGTAGGTCCTGTATTCCTCCATTTAAGATGGAACCTTCCGTGTAATCAGTTTGAGTCCCATTTTCAGAATTAGATGAACTCTGAACTACGGAAGGTGGTAAAGCTTCTGAGACATCCACTTCATCAATTGAAGATGTGCATGTCTTCGGTGACTCAAAACAGTCGATAGTTCCATTTCTGTTGCCTTCAATATCCTTCCCATTGCCACTAAGCTCTGGCAGTGGAACTGCCAGTGTAGTTGCATATGGAAGTGGACCAACTCCAAGATCCATATTCTTGTTGACACCAGTTTCAGATATTGAACTCCCATGGGCACATCCCAGTTCAATCGAGCTAGCATCACATGAAAGCTTTTTGTTATGTTTTCCTTTCTTTTTTGCCTTTTTTCTTGAGTTCTTTTTTACGGCCTTGTCTACTTTAGAAACATCAACATAGATATCACGTGAATTAGTAACATCAGATCCACTTGGGATCATAACAGAGGAATCAACACCTCTAAGAGAATTCTGAAATGAAGAATTGCCTTGAAACTGATTCCGTTTGCTCACTTTGTTAGCCAAGCCTTTGTTTCGAGATTGACGCTGGGAATTTGAGCCAGAAAGGCTTCTAGCTGTAAAGGACTTGACAGAACAACTCCTATCAGAAGTATTCCCTCCATGTGCCTTTTGTCGATCAACCTTGACTGAACCTACTGGTGATGGAGAAATCAAATGGAGACCATCCATTTTTACCTGAGCTCCAGATCCCAAGTGGATTGAGTGATCAGGGCAATGCATTGGCAGTGCAACAATTTTCCATCGTCCATCAGGTTCCGGGGCAAAGAATGTCAATATTGCGCACCTAGTAAATGAAAAGAGACCAAATGAATCAGTTTGATACCTAACTCACAATATTAAATTACAACAAATTGAGAAACTGAGATAAAAATAATAATAATAATAATAATAAAATAATTGTCATTCATAACGGCCATCAGGAAATGAGGAAAGATCTAATATGATACTTCTGGCCATTCGCAAGCTCATATACGAACCCACCGGCAATTAAAAATGACAAAACTAACTTTATAATACCAAATAAAGTTGATTTATTTTTATGAATCTGTTCTCTTCTAATCTATTCCTGAGGCCAGACACACATCACCCAATTTATAGCTGTTTGCAAGACTCAGAATCCTCAATCCTCTCCATGATACCGCTGGACCACAATGCCAGTGATCTTTTTCTGAAATGTTAGATACATGAATAAGGTAAATAATGTTATAAGCTACTGACTTCCACACCCCATGCATGTTCATGGCATGAAAAAGTAGTGTCTGAATATTCAAGTCAGTCAAAAGGTCTGTACCATAAGCAAACTGGTTTATGCAATGCGACCCACATCTAAGCACCAAACATCCAAAATATTTTTTTACCTCTGATCAGAGTTCCTCCAAACAAAAGAAGATACTTCTGAGTCCTGAAATAAATGGTTAACAACAACCAATAACAAGTCAGGAAAACCATACCAATCCAAAATGGAAGAAAACTAGCAAGTGCTTGAATAATGTATTGCAACAAACATATGTCACCCTCGAAGATGGTCTGAAGTTATTCTGTTCTACGGATTTCCTCCACGGTGAACTATTTCCTCCGTCTGCAACTTTCTGAGTATTGCGACAGGTCTTTTGAAGGGCACAATGCATCTTTTGCTGTGCCTGTAAATATTTAGAGCGCTGATATAAGAACACAAATTTTGGGTCCAACAATGAACTTAACAAGAACAATACCAAAAACTTAAAATTCACAGATTCTAGCATTCAAAAAAAGCTTTGAATCTTCAGCCAAATGCACTATATAAAAACAGAAGTTCTCCAAGAAAACTTTGAGGCTAATATAAGCTACATTTGCCGTATGCAATAGCATGGTAAACTTTGGATATACAAATTTAAGATATTTACACCGATTTCTGAAAAAATGAAGCCAAAACAAATCATTTTGTTAACAAATTTAGAATACAGAATAATGCCAAAAAAAAAAAAAAAAAAAAAAAAAAAAAAAGAGAAGGAAAGTTTTGTAATGGTGAATCCAAATTGATTTAAAACATGACTGAGTTTACAAGCCATTAGTTAAAGAAACTCACATAAGCATATTTCCAGCCATCCCATAATAATAATAATAATAAATAAATAAATAAAACTCTGTCAGGAGGAGATATGTATCAATGAGAAAACCAATTTTAAACAGATATGTCAAACCTAGCACTGGAATCCAACACATTATTCACCCAAAAAACACAACCCCGTTAGCGACATGTACTGAACAACAAATGGCATAGGCAATCAGCCACATATTTAGTGCAACATCGAAATACAATTAACTTAAAAACTGAAATGTATAATTTCTTTAAAGAAGAGCAAAATGAAGGAATTGTTAAACTAAACTGCGTCTATAATGAACCACTTATTGCAATAACATTAATCTTATCTTAAAATTTATGTACAGTATCTACCACTGCACTGGCACAACTATCTCAGGCTCTCAGCAATCTTCTCGAGTGTTATTGGTAGCCATGTAAGGCCATTAGTAGCCCTGATAAAAAAGTTCATACACATAAATTCAAGGAAGGGTTTGTGAAAAACGAGAGCTGAGGAGTTTCATAACCTTAAGTTGATGGCAAATTAGTTATTGTTGTTTAACATGAACGTGTGGGAGGAATCAAAAAATGGTCAAGATGTAGGAGCTTATTGAGAGAGCAAATGCAGCAATTTTATAATCTAATATTTTTTCAATAATTACCGGAAATTTGAAACTGAGATTGGTTTCTTAGCACATGCAGTATAGTAGCTGATGGATGTCACTAAAATCATTTTATCTCACTTGTTTATTTTAAGTGTGAAATTCGGGAACTAATGCACCGCTCTTCATAGTGTTCAAATGACATTATCAACAGATTAATAGGACCAGTTTTACTTGGGGAATTTAAGCCCTCCTGTGTAATCCAGTCACAGTTTTCAAAAACATTGTTAAACATTCAAAATAAAGTAATAAATAAAGAATGGTTATAATTAAATGTATTAAAATAACAACAAATCACAATGCAACTGCAACCAAGTAAATTTATTAATAGCAAACAAACAGAACCTTTATAACAAATGACAAACAGTACCTCAATCTAAAGGTAATGAAGTCAATTAGTTCAAAATGACAAACAACAAATTTGTTGTACAAATGACAACAACATCTCAATCTGGATAGTAACGAACTCAACATATCCAGTGAAAGATGATAAATTCAATTCAAATGCACTAGAAATACTTCAATCCAATTATACCCAATTAAAAAAACTAAAAATAAAAATGATGCGGCACTCGAACACAATCTATGAAAAGTCCCAGTTAGAATGATAGCATAATGTTTGGCATAAACACAGAATCTCCTCAAAGGAAAAGGTTTAAAACATGAACAATTACAAAAGCCAGGTACCAGTAGCTCGCATTCATAGCAAAATAAACCAGAGTTGATTCAAAAACCATGGGGCTAATATATTTATACCATGGACATCTCACATTCTTCAACATCAAATCAAATAGAGACCATAAAGCTTCCGTTCCTCAGTTCTTGCTATAACAGGAAAAGAAGGAATAAGATTTTTAATTGGCAGGCGAAGATAAACTATAAGGCTAATAAGCTTATATTATGGACATCTAGCATTCTTTGTTATGAACTCAAATATAGATCATAAAGCTTTATGTTCTCCAATTCTTGCCATAATTGAACATAAAGAGGAAAGAAAGAAATAGCAATACCACTGACAAACGAAGATGACAACTACAATGATGACCGTGACAATAAATTATCTTCTGCAACATACAATCCAATTCAATTCAGAGATGTATTTGACTTTATGTGATGTCCTTGAAGAAATTAAAAAGAAAAGAATCGAGACCTGGGGAAAAAAAAGAGAAAATAGAACCTAGAGAGAGAGAGAGCTCATAAAGCCCAAAATGGGTGCATCCCTATTCAGGCACTAGAAAAAGCAACAGACCATAAACCTCTAGAACTCAATTCAACCACCAGTCCAAATAATTGATTTGATTAATTATAACCAAACACTCAGACAACCATTGAAAAGTGAAAGTTCCTCGTTGAAAATAATATTCAAAAAGAAAAAGGAGAAAAAAAAAAAAAAAAAAAATGATAACAAACACTATAGGTCTAAGATAGGATTGACTAACTTTAATCGCTGATCACAAATGCAAGACTAAAATGGGGTACAACTCTGTGAATCACCAATCCAAATCTTCTCAATTCGTTGTCTAAATTGCACACAAAAAAATCTAAAAGAACAAAAAAAAAAATCATCTGCTAATTATTAGATGAAGCTTTCCCCAAATTTAGCTGATGTTCACATAAATAGAAAACAAGTGCTAAATTTGTCAAAGAATCCCCTTAAATTTCTCTAACCGAATTTCAGGGGGAGAATCAAAAGAAAACACCAAATCCTTTGATGAATCAATAGAATTCATGCGGCGGCGAACGAATCCAATCTATTACATACATACATACATACATACATACACACACACACACACACACATATATAAGAAGAGAGAGAGAGTGTAAGAGTAGAGTGAGAAAGTTTCTGGCTAAAGCTAGTAGATAGAATAGGGATGAACTGCGATGAATTTGGCGAAAGATACATATATATGTATATACTTATTTAGAAATATCTATTTATATATGTGTATATATATATGTATGTGTAGAGAGAGAGGACGAACCATCATAAGCTTCTTATCTTTTGTGGTTTTCCTTATCAAAGTTATCCGTTTCGGCGATCTTGAAATGGAACCCAATTCTTCTCTCTTTCAACTTCCAGTGAGGATCACACTGATTGCCTGAAGACTAATAATACAAACAAGTCTATTACTACTTTTACTGGCAAAAGAAAATGTCTTTTTCTCCTTTTTTTATTTTTTTATTTTCTTAAAGAAATTATACATGTGTATGTGTGCGCATATATACATATATATAGAGAGAGAGAGAGAGTGCTGAATGATCATACCGAGCAAGACCGCCAAGAGAGTGACGAGCCAGTTCCTGTTGACAGCAATGGATAACACAAGCTTGTTGAAAAATAAATAAATAAAAAAAATAATCTCTGTAATGAATATATATATATATATATATATATATATATATATAGAGAGAGAGAGAGAGAGTAATATTCAAAATAATACAAGCAATATATACACATGGCCTATTTATAGGTTCAAAATTGTAGCTTCCCAAACAAACAATAATAAGACTTTCGCTGTAAGCAAGAATTGAGCTCTCTCCATAAGCCAACAATGTCATCATGGATGAATTAAGATTATGGGCCCCACAAACATACACACACATATATATATAACACTTCTCTTTGGGGTCCACAATATTATATTAAGAATATGCCTCGTTAAAATTTTACTAAGAAAAACCCAGGGAGACAAAACCTTAGTGAAGGAAAAAGAGTACAGTATTTTTGTGTATGGTATTGCATAGATTAAAACTGCCTCATTAAAACCTTACTAGAAAAACTCAATGGGACAAAACCTGAACGAAGGAAAAGAGTACAGTATGTTAATACCTCTTTGATCACTTGCTCCCCCTCATTAGTTTAACCCTGAAGATTCTTTAGTTGACGCATTCCAATGTTATCCACTAACTTTTTGAATGTTGTAGTTGGAAGCGCTTTAGTGAATAAATCTACTAGATTATCACTCGAGCGTATCTGCTGAACATCAATATCACGGCTCTTATGGAGCTCATGTGTCGAAAAGAATTTTGGTGAAATGTGCTTGGTTCTGTCACTTTTTGTGTATCCTCCTCTTACCTATGCAATACATGTTGTATTATCTTCATATAATATTGTTGGACTATCTTTGATTGAGGAAAGTCCACATGATTCTCGAATATGTTGTACAACAGATGTAATGACCTGGTCATTTTCCTTCATTACCTTTCCTCTGATTTTTACGGATATTTTTTTTTTCGTTGATCTTTCTTTTCTAGGTTCGGCTTCTCGTCACTTAGTGTCATCTTGAGTGCTCGAGAAGGGTTTCCGATACTCTTTTCTTTGGTTTGACGACTTCCTTTGAGGACCGAGTCATTTTCACGTTTTCACTTTTGTGACACTATTCACTTTTCGTCTTTTTCTCGGTTGTCACTTTGTTAGAATAACCTCATTTTTCGTGTTCGGATTTAATTCCAGTTTTGCATGCATCCACGATATTTAAATTCCACACTATGTGTATTTTCACTTTTGTAGAAAAGCATACTAAGTGCTTACTTTTCTTGTAAAGGGTATAAACGAATAACCTTTTTGTAATTTTTCTAACTTTTGGGAGTTTTGTGTAATTACTGTAAAGTAATTATTTTTCGTCTTAGGGACCATTTTGCAATTTAATTTGGAAGATATTTTCAAAAAGGACCTTTTTGTAATTTTTGGAAAGTGTGACAAGAGTCACACTCTCATGGAGCCACTTGTTGGCATTGAAGTGGAGGGATTTGGAGGTATCTTGTGACATTTGGAGGGTGGAGATTCACCCACTTGTTGGCCTAAGATTGGTGCACTTGTTGGCTTAGATGGTTGACAAGTGTAGGCTTGGGATTAAGTCTTGCAAATTACTTTTGGGACACTTTGGGATTATAGTTTTAAGGAGGGGTTTTTGTGCAATTGACCATAGTTGTGTGTGTTGACCATGGTGTAGGAACACATAGTGAGTGGAGGATTTCTATTTCCTCCACTCATCCATTTTTCACCTTATGTCATTTTCTTTCTCATCACAAACCCTAGCCTCCATGGATGGAGCTTGATGCTTAAGCCTTGACCTTGATTTTTGAGGGCCTTCCATTCACCTTAGACCTTAAAGCTTGGAACATTTTTTGTTCCCCTTATCCTCCTCTACATAACCCTAGAAGGGTTTACCATTTTGTGTTGATTTGCCTTGGATTCTAGAGAGACACTTCTCTAATGAGGTAGGGGATGTTATAGGGTTGTATTTTTATTTCTTACATGCTATTGATACTTTTATAAGTTGTATGCATGTCTTTTGTTAATTTGAGAAATTAGTGATTTATTATATCTTGCATATAACTCATTTTAGACTTGGTAAATGGCATAGCCATGAGTTGATCTTTGATATATATTAATTTGGGATGATTTAGATGAGTTTTCAAATCTAAAGATTAAATGGATTTAATTTGATTTAAATTTTAGTAAATTGTATTTTACTTGTATTCCATTTTAGACTTGAGATATGGTATAACCATGATTTGGTGCTTGATATATATTAATTTAGGATCATTTGAATAACTTTTGAAATCTAGAGATTTGATTAATTTAAATTAATTAAATTCTATATGATGTTATCTTGCTCATTTGACACTTTTGATTTGATATATGTAAAGAGTATGCTACGTTGTTTAACATATATTAATTTGAGATTATTCGAATTTGATTTGAAATTTAGAGAATTTGATTATCTTATTTAATTAAATTCTATCTAATGGCTCCATGGATCTATTGGTATTTTAGAAGTTGTTTCTATATTCAAATCATGAACTTGAACTTGTTATGTATTCATTTTGTTGTGTTTTGAGCATTGGACAACTTTGTTGTTATATTTATATTCATGAGAACATGTTTTCTTTATGAAATATATTAATACCATGTGTAATGAATTACACACTTTGTAATTGACATTATATATGCCATTTTAGAATTAAAACTCTAAGGCATGGATTGTGTGGTTTCAACCTACTTGTGCATGGAAGGTGGTTTTCATGCATTATATAAATTACGTATAAGTTGTGAACTTATTTGATTATTTTAGAGTCTTGTGACATTGTTACAAGTGACATGGCTAGAGTTTGGCTCTAGTACGGGAGGTATGAGTTCTCCCCAATTGAGATAGTGCGCACTAGGGTGGTCTTCCCAGCAGGTTAATGCCCGAAATAACTATTTTGTTCTCGGTGGAAATCCGAGACGTAATGTCCAAGTCTTCCACTATTTGTTTTTGCATTCAATTCCAAGTTAACAATCATGTTTATATTGTAACTTGTGATTTTGGTTATTGGCGATTTTGATGTTGTTAAGTACATCCATGTTTATGATTTTAATGAATCATTTTGATGTTGTTAAGTACATCCATGTTTATGATTTTAATGAATCATTTTGATATTGTTAAGTACATCTATGTTTTATGATTTTAGTGAATCATGTTGATGTTGTTAAGTACATCTATGTTTTATGATTTTAGTGAATCATTTTGATGTTGTCAAACGCATCTATGTTTTTATGATTTTAGTGAATCATTGTGAGCTTTGATATTGTTAAGTATATTATGCCTTATATGTTCAAATGTGGCTTAGGAATGATCCTATAGATTCATTTGGAATATAGACGTTAGGTGGCATGACCTACTTGAGTTGTTTTGCACTTTAGATATCAAGTTGATGACTTTGAGAATCTATATCTAGTTACTTTGTATAGCATGTTCTTATATTGTTTAGAATTGCATGAAAGATGTGATTTATGTTAGAAATGAGCTAAGGTAGCTTAAGATGCTCCCTCAGTCTCACCTTGACATAGACGTTAGGTGGCATGAGCCCATTTAACATGCTTCACCTTAAGGTGATAAAATTGTAAAATGTTAGGTCGATGCATGCTCATTTCCTACGAGTAGCTTTATGTTACTCACCCACGTAGTGGGGACATTTTTTAGGTTCAAGAATCAAGGTTGAGATTCTCATTGTGCTTAGATGGTTGTGGACTTGAAGATTTCCATTCTTGTAAAGGTTGGCTTGGAATGCCATTTGTAACCTTATTTGTCAAAATGTGTATATTTGATTCCATATATGTAATGTGTACATGAGTACACTCTTTACAATGTATTTGACATGTATGAGATGAGACCAAAGGCCAATGACATGTATTTTGTATCCTATGTAAATTTTGACTTCATGAAATATTATGAAAATATTGAAAAATCACAAGTTATTATTTCACCATGGGTGCATCGAGTGTGGGAATTCCATTTTCATTCTTTCATAGGGTCTTATTAATCATGTACGAAGTGTGGCCAAGGGCCAACCGGTCATTTGAAGTCATTTGTTGATTTTGGTTTTCAAAGTTTCCATTTTAAGTTCATTTTCGTCTTTTTGGCCGTCAGGGGGTCGGATTTTGACTCGGCCATTTTCGGGAGCCGCGGACCATTTTCGCGTGCTCAAAATTACTATTTACATTTGCGTGAATGATCGTTTTCATGAAAACACCTTTCGTTTGTGTTTTGAGCTTTCTATGGACTCATTTCACCTTTTTGTTGAAAAATTCAGCTTAAGGGTATTTTGGAAATTTCTTTTGGGAAATAAATTCTGTTCTTGACTTCGTCACATAGAAAATGTGATTTTAGGGGGAGTTTATTCACGACATTTTTTTCGAAAAGTGTCATCTTAACCTCGAAAACTGTGTCGCAAACTCATTTATCTACTAAAACACTGTTTCTGCTGCATTTTAGGTGTTCTGTTCAAGTTGAACCGGTTCAAGAATAGTTGAACTAGTTCAAGGTGTCATTTTGGTTCAGCTTGGGTGTACTGCCAATGTTGAACCGGTTCAAGTCTTCTAGAGTTTTCAGTTTTGGACTTCCAACTTTAAACTGATGTAACTTCTTCGTTTTAACTCTGAATTGGTCCGTTCTTGAGTCTAAACTGACCGTGTCAAAATAAGCTTTCCAATGGTATGAATTTCAATTTCAGATTCTTTTCCTAGCTCATGATATTCTCATTTTAGTGAGAGGGTGTTGGATTTGGTTCGAACTAGGATAGGGTTCTTCTGAGATTTCATTTCCTTTAGCCTTGAGATTTCATGTGAAGTTACCAAAGGATTTTTTGATCTCATTTGACTTATTGGGATTCAAATTCCTTCCTCTTAGGGTAAAATGACCATTTTACCCTTGGTCCTTCTTTTAGTAAGGTTTTGATACCCTTGTCTTCATTTTGCTTCCGCTGAGTCTCGAAATTCCGTTAAGGGCCATTCTTGTGTCTTAGGCATGATGTACATCTCTAAGGACTTGGTTTCATTTTGCTTCCGCATTTTGGATCCGCTTCGGGTCATCACAAGACACACTGGGTTGAAAAATCCAGGGTCGTCACAACAGATCTCAACTAAACACACTCTTTACCTGCTTCATGAATTGCAAGTATCTCAGAGTGATTTGAGGAAGTTGCAATCATGGTCTGTTTCATAGATCGCCATGATATAGTAGTATTACCACAAGTAAACAAGTACCCTGTTTGTGATTGGGCTGTATGCGGGTCAGAAAGATAAACTGCATCTGCATATCCGATCAACTGGGGCTTTGATTTTCTTGAGTAAAACAACCCCATATCAGTCGTTCCCCGAAGATAACGCATAATGTGTTTGACCCCATTCCAATGTCTTCGAGTTGGTGCAGAACTATACCGTGCTAGTAAGTTGACTGCAAATGTTATATCAGGTCTGGTACAATTCGCAAGGTACATTAGAGCACCGATTGCACTAAGATATGGTACTTCAGGACCAAGAACTTCTTCGCCTTCTTCTTGAGGACGAAAAGGATCTTTATTAACATCAAGTGATTGGACAATCATTGGAGAACTCAAGGGGTGAGCTTTATCCATATAAAAACGCTTCAAGATTTTTTTAGTGTATGTTGACTGATAGATAAGAATTTCACTTGGTAAATGTTCGATCTACAGGTCGAGACAAAATTTTGTTCTACTAAGATCTTTCATTTCAAATTCTTTCTTTAAATAATTAGCAGTCGTGGTGAGCTCTTCATGAGTTCCCACAAGATTTAGATCGTCAACATATACAGCTATAATGGCAAAACCAGATTTTGATTTCTTTATGAAAATGCATGGACAAACTTGATTATTCACATATACTTCTTTTAGTAAATACTCGCTGAGTCGATTATACTACATGCGTCCGAATTGTTTCAATCCGTACAAGGATCGTTGTAGCTTGATCGAATACATGATACGTGGTTTTTAGCTATTTGCTTCAGGCATTTTGAATCCTTCAGGGATTTTCATATATATATAACTATCTAGTGATCCATATAAATAAGTTGTAACCACGTCCATCAGATGCATATCCAGTGCTTCTAAGACTGTCAAACTAATCAAGAAACGAAATGTGATTGCATCCATCACATGAGCGTATGTTTCCTCATAATCAATACCAGGTTTCTATGAGAAATCTTGGGCTACATGTCGGGCTTTGTATCTTATAATTTCATTTTTCTCATTATATTTCCTTACAAATACCCATTTGTACCCTACAGGTATGACATTTTCAAGTGTCTGGACTACAGGTCCAAATACTTCACGTTTTGCTAATGAGTTTAGCTCTGCCTGTATTGTTTCTTTCCATTTTGGTCAATTATTTCTACATCGACACTCTTCGACGTTTTGAGGTTCAGGATCCTCATTATCACCTATAATATCAAGAGCAACTGCAAAAGAGAATATATCGCTAATAATAACTGTATTTCTATCCCACAATTCTCTATAGTTTATTGAGATCTCATTATTTTCAGGTACCAGTGCCTCTTCAGGGGCTTGTGCCACTTCCGGGTATGTGCCACTTTTGGAGCATGCATATCTTCTGGGGTTACTTGCTTATAAAATTTAGATTGGTCAATCATTTTCGTTGTTCCGTTTGCAAGTGTGACCTTTTCAGGAACGCCAATTTCTTTATTTGATTTCTCTTGTGTTTTCCTCTTCTGGGGAACAGTGTCTTTTGCACCAACTGGTCTACCACGCTTCTGGCGTGTCTTAGATGCATTTACAATAACACTGACATACTGTCCTATAGGGACACCAATTCTTACTGGAATGTTTACAGCTGGTATATGTGATTTCATCACTTTCTTTGTGTCAATGAATACATCAGGTAATTGATTTGCAATACTTTACAAATGAATGATCTTTTGAACTTCTAGTTCACATTGATTTGTGCAAGGATTGAAATGAGATAAAGTCGAGACATTCCAATTAATAACTCGTTGCTCTTCTAGCTTTTTCTTTTTCCCCCTTAATAGAGGGAAAACAGCCTCATCGAAATGGCAGTCAGCAAACCGCGCCTTAAAAACATCACCTGTCATAGGTTCAAGATATCTAATAATAGATGGAGAATCAAAACCTACATAAATACCAAGTCGTCGTTAAGGACCTATTTTGGTGCGTTGTGGGGGTGCAATGGGAACATATACGGTGTAACCGAAAACTCGTAAGTGAGAGATACTTGGTTGTTGACCAATCACAAGTTATAGTGGTGAAAAACTATGATATGCAGTTGGTCTAATGCGAACTAGTGATGTTGTATGTAATATCGCATGTCCTCAGGCAGAAACAGGTAGTTTAGTTCTCATGAGTAAAAGTCTAGCTATTAACTGAAGACGTTTGATAAAAGATTCTGCAAGACCATTTTGGGTGTGAGTTTGTGTATCAGGATGTTCAATAAGAATGCCAATTGACATGCAATAGTCATCAAATGATTGAGATGTGAATTTCCCGACATTATCAAGACGGATAGTCTGGATTGGATAATCCGGAAATTGTGCTCGTAATTGGATTATTTGAGTAAAGAATCGAGCAAATGCAACATTACGAATAGAAAGTAAACTTACGTGTGACCACCGTGTTGAGGCATCAATTAAGACCATAAAATACCGAAATGTTCTATACGCTGGATGAATTGGTCCACATATATTCCCTTAAATTCGTTGTAAAAATGGTGGGCATTCAACGACGACCTTGGAAGGTGATAGTCTAACAATTAATTTACCTTGTGAGCAAGCAGTACATGGATAATCATTTGCTAAAAGAATCTTCTGGTTCTTTAGTGGATGACCATGTGAATTTTCAATGATTCGGCGCATTATTGTTGACCCAAGATAACCAAGGCTATTATGCCAAAGTATAAAAATATTTGGGTCAGACCACTTCTAGTGCGTCACTGCATGTGACTCAATTACTGTAAGACCCCTAGTTTTAAAAGGGTTATAATTGGAATTTTAATATTCCTTTTATTGTTTTCATTATTTATTTTATTTATTTTTGGTATTTATGTGGTTAGACTTTTCTTAATTAAATTAAGTGTTGGGTGAATTTAAATAGTTATACATTAAATTGATTTGTTAGTTGTTTTATTTTTCCTTGGTTTAATTGGTAATTGTGATATTTAAATTAATTGGATTTTTATTTTATTATTTGAATTGTTGGACCTATTTGTAATTATTTGAATTATTTGTGTTAATGATATTATTATTTGACTGAATGGATTTGTGATTATCGGTATTGGTTGCGTAAATTTCATTATTGGGTTTAAATTATTGTAATTAAGTTAAGTGAGTTTTTAGACGTCACCTAAGTGTAGCCGACATAGATTTTAAACGTAGGCTCTGTTTATGGGCCGACTAGTATTTAGATTAGGGCTCTGTTTTTAATCCTACAGGGAATAGGGTTTCAATTAAGTCTATATATATATATATATAGCAGTATGTCACCTTAGGGTTTTAGCAATCACAGACCTTCTTTACGTTCAGAATATTGAGAGAACAACAGAGAGGAACTGAGAGGGGTCGTGAGAAACAAACAGAGCTACTTTGGTGAGGGTTTGGCCGTGGCTTACAGGACGGACGTAGGAGAAGGGAAGATGGAGCAATAGGAGATTTAACAGTGAATGGGATCGCCGGAAAAACTTAGAACGACAGCAACCGAGTTTTGAATCCAAAACTGTAAAGGCAAGTTCTTTCCTTTCTCTCTCCCGTTGCCTGTGTTCTGTGTATCCTTAGACTGTCTCTAGGGTTTTAATTGATCAATAATTAAATTATGCATGTTTGTTATATGCTAAATCAGATGTCTATATGTGTGGAATTATTCTGTTAAAGTTCTGGTACCTCTGGTTTGCAGTTTGGAATGGAAGCATGTTTAATTGGTTAAGGTTTTAAACACTGTAATTGAATTAAACTATTATGAACAAGTCATGGGGATGTTAATGGGATGTTATAAGACCTTAGGTTCAGTTTTGAAGAGGAGCAGAGGGGTTGGAATGGAACTGTAGTTGCAAGATTGTATTCAGTGTTTGATCGTAAAAGCGTGTTAAGACGATTGTTGTTTTTGTTGTTGTTTTAATTCCTACTGTTATAGCAAACTGATGGGATGCTATTGGGTGTTAATTAAACTCCTAAGATCAGTTTTAAAGACCAACAAAGTGTTAGGAATAGACCAGAGGTGAAGAGGACGGACTGAAACAAAGCAGGAACGGACTGAAGCTCGCAGAAGGGGAAAGAGACGGCTCCACGGAGGGAGGAGACGGCTCCCCCATGAGTAGAGCCTGCTCTAGAGGAAGTAGAGCAGGCTCTACCTCTGAAAGAGGCGGCTTTAGGCAGGTTAGAGCCTGCTCCATTTATTTGGAAAAGGCTCTGTGGTCCTATTTGTGTTCTGGGGCTGTTTGTGTGTTGTTTGGTTCGATAGTAGTTTTTCTGAGCTGTGTTTGGGTTAGGGAGATGGATTTATATATTAATTCAAGAAATATTAAAGCCCTAGGATGAATTAATTTATTTATATGCTAAGGTTTTAAACCGTAGGAAAATCTAAGGCAAGACGCAGGCAGTTTACGGACTTAGCGGACCGAAAGGACTTAATTGTGCAAACTGCGTCTGGAAATTAAAAAGAGTTGGAACATGAATTCCAAGCATTATATTATGCTATACTAGAGCCATGTTTAATAAATTAAGGTCTTTATACTCAGGGGTTTAAGCGTGGGAAGGTATACAGTAATGCAGGTTGTTAACGAATGAAAGAAGTTTAATTGTTTTTTTAGTTTAGCAATTTAACGGAATATGTATATATTTATAAATCTTGTTGGGGTGCCATGCTAGGATCATTTAATTAACAAGTTTGATCTAGGCATATCCTGGATGTTAATTGTTGAAATACTAAATACTTTTCTGGAATGCATGGACTTAAGCTTGTAATCTTAATTGCGGTAACATTAAGCATTTCACTGCAATTACTTGGATTAGGGTTTAGACTTAAATTGCTGAACTAGTACTTAGGTTCTGTCAATCTAATTGGATGTTGGCCTGGAATTAATTGAAGAATTAAATATATATTTTCTGTCAATTACAGGGATGAATGCTGGAATTTAACTTGACGAATTAGTAAACTTTGTCTTGTTTGATTACATGGATGGATTCTGGATTTGTAGTTGATAACTTGTTTAAATTATGTGTTTATCAACTATATGGATAATGTGGACTTTATTTGATGTACTGCTTATATTGTTGCATTATTTACGGATCATATGCATGGTATGTACCGGTATGGGACGGTGACATATGGAGGGACGGATTAGATCAAAATGTTAATTTCAACCCATTCATACATACAGAATGGATTAACTAAAACAGTTAAATCCTACATGGTTTCATGTCCTGTCAACTAAAATAGTTGAACGACATATTGGATGGTTGTTTATATTTTCTGTTAATAGGAAGGATAGGGATTTAATTAAAATATTTAAATCCTAATTATATGTTGTGTTTTGGTGACGAATAGTTGATCGGCTCAACATTGTATTTGGATGGGTTGTATATACACTTAATGTA